AAAAAGCGAAAACAAATGGTGAGCCAATTAGAAATATCCTTGAAGGATGAATGCATCTTATTGGTCAAGAGATGGATTCATTTTCTAAAGGGGAAGGAATGAGAGAGTATTTATGTGAATGATTCCGTAGCCAAATAGACTTTTATTTCTTCTACTCATGTTTTCTAGAAAAAGTAGTCAGTCTGGTGTTAAATGGGGTTAGCACGTATTGACGTGTACTGCACATCGGCACACTTTTTAAATGACAGTCAAATCATGAATAGATAGATCACTGTTAGACCACCGTAAGAAGTTCGCAAGCACTTAATAGCAGTTTCTTACTAGTTTTGGACCAATCGGCGGTGAAGATTCAATCCCCATAAGCGGGAATCGAAGCCAAGACCTTCGGTTTTGCACTCAACTGTTTAAAATCTAGATCACTGATTCAGCATCTAACGATGATGTTATTGTCTAACTTTAACCGATCTATAACATTTTGCGACCATCGTACCCACTGATCATAGCTTTTCATCAAGACTTTGAAAATTTTCTTGTGAGTCAGTCAGTCAGTTGAAACGTAGAACTTCGTACGTATGTACATAAGTTCATGTTGCCATACCATCACATTAACACAGAGATATAAGTGTCAATTCAAATCCAATAGTAGTAGGGGTAGTAAAGGTATTAGAAGTATTCGGAGAGGTTAGGATTAGAAGATATTATTCAAGAAGTATAATTCAGTGAGATAAGGTTAGAAAGACAAAGGTAGAGGTGCTGAAGTATCCAGAAGATCAGGATTAGAGAGAACACAAAGAATGAGAGCACCTGCGCCACTGCAAACGGTTTTGAGCCATGACATTCAAGGTCTCTGACCATTGGTGACTATCATCTCGCGGACCCCAACTAGGTAGCCTACTACATCTACCAACATGACTCAGTCCACTAGTAAGTGACTTCATGGATTTCTGCCATGTTTTGGTCTGAATACCCCTAGCTTTCATCCAGTCTATTCCTACACTACAAAACAAAGCTCGACAAGGCAGTCGGTGGTTAGGCATACGTAACACATGTCCCAACCACCTCAACTGATGAAGTTTCAATACTTCATCTATTGATCTGCCATTCTTACCTAGCACCCGTTTCCTAACGACAGCATTGCCTACTCGGTTGTCCCACGATATACGAGCAATGCTTCTTAAACATCTATGATCGAATACTAGTAACCTACGAACATCTTCTACTCTTAACGGCCATGTTTCACAGCCATATAAGAGAACGGAGCGAACTGCTGCGCAGTACACCCGTCCTTTGGTTAGCAAACGGATATCACGCCTACGCCATAAGTGACGCAGGTCGGCAAAAGCTAGTCGAACCTTCTGTATTCATGCTGAGATTTCATCAGTCACCAGGCCATCAGCACTGATGAGACTCCCAAGATAAGTGAAGCGATCAACACGCTCGACTACTTCACTCCCTATCACTAGTTCAGGTGCCGACGCAACCCAGTCTTGAAGCAACATTTTGCTAATCACCAGTGAGTACATGATGAGGCAGTTGGTTTAACATTATTAATCGATTCATGATTCCAAGCAATTCTAGACTAGCTAATTAAAAATAATTAATTCACTTTAAAAATATCTTACTTCAAATATATAATGAATGATATATTGACTGCGTAACAATAAAACTATTCTATAGTGTATATATATATATATATATATATATATATATATATATATATAAAATAGAATAAACGCAGTTTATTCTATTGATCATTCAAATTTAATTGTCATGATATCTTTTTTTGGCGAAACGAGAATTTTACTCTGTATTGAATGTTTCAAATAATAGTTCTCTTTTTGGAAAAACCAAATAATTGAATGGTTACATTATATTTGAAACTATGAATCGATCAATGTTAGACCACCATTAGAAACCTGAAAGCACTGAATAGCCGTTTCGTCCTGGTATGCGACTCATCAACAGTGCGCATCCACGACTTCTGCACCCGGCAGGTTTCGAAACCAGGACCTTCGGTAATGTACGAGACCGCCCTAACCGTTAGACCACTTAGCAGGTATCTAACGGTGTTAATGTCTAACTTGATCAAATTTACGGAGTTGCGCAACCTCATACCCTGTAAACATCCGGACAGGTTTGAACTTCACTGGTCACGACTTCCCACTAACGGTTAGGGCGTTCGCATACAATACCGAAGGTCCTGGGTTCGAATCCTGCGAGTTGCAGGAGTCATGGATGCACACTGCCACTGATGAGTCCCATACCAGGACGAAACGGCCGTCCAGTGCTTCCAGGTTTCTAATGGTGGTCTAACATTGATCGATTCATGGTTTCAAACAAAACTTAACAATCTTCACAACAACCCCGCAATGCGGTTACATTATAGACTACTTTAGCGGTTGTATTATGTTCGTCGTTTCAGTTTCTGATTATTATACTTAGGCGAACCCTGTGTTTAGATGACAGCGGTAGTAAGAAGCCAAATACGGATTCAATTGGATGAGTTGATTTCAAGCAATCGTTCAAGACTAATCAACACTGTGCATCCAAGACTCCTGCTACTCGCAGGATTCGAAACCAGGACCTTCAATCTTGTGCGCGGACGTTTAACCTCTGAACTACTGGGCCGGCATTCAACGGTATTAACGTCTAACTGTGATCAAACTAAGGATTTTGCGCTACCTTACCTATACGTCTCTGGTGGTGGTGACTGCGAACGCCCGACAGGGTTGAACTCCACGCGTCACGTCTTCCTTACTAGCTAGAACTCGAAGAATTTCATCACCAAACTACTAGTAGCTAGTGAGCACAATCGTACGTTTTCATTT